TCTCCAGTTGCTGCTGCTGCGGCCCCTGCTGTTGTCCCTGGTATTGCGGTCTCTGCTGGTGCTGTTGCTGCTGCTGTGGCATCTGCTGTTGTTGCTGCCACTGCTGCTGGTGCTGCTGCGGCTGGTGCTGCTGCTGGTGCTAGTTGATGATAGTGCTGCGGCTGCCCGACCTCCCCACCTGGCCTACTGCACCCTCCTCCCGCTGCTCCCATCTCTTCCCCTTGCGGCCCATAGTGCGCTGGTCCGTCCGCGCAGATCCCGGCGCCCCCCACGTGTCCACCCCCCCCCCCTCCCCCCCGCCCCCCTACCATACGAACTCCCGCCGTGCGCGTGGGAATCGTTGCGGTGGCCTTGTGAGGACGGGACATGCTGCGTACGTGACGGACCCCGGCGGCTGACGTGAGTAGACTGGTCGCGCCTAACTACCATTGGGGATTTGGAACGCGTCTGCCTAGGTCTTGAGTGGCGCGCTCTTCACCCTCAGTACGCGGACGGCGATAGACGTGACTCAATCCTCAAAGTCCCCGGGCCCTCTACACTGGTCACCCGTCGCTCACCCTGGCTCAACGACCTCCTCCTCTCACCTCCGCCCCTCTGCGGACAGCCCCCGTCCTCTCCCCTTCCTTGGCCCCGCCATCCGCCTTGCTCTTCCTCCTCCTCGTCGCGGCGCCGCATCGGTGTCAACGTCCCAAGCCTTACCGTATTCGGCATGGGACCCCGCCCTCGGCAGCAGGATCCCGGCCCCCGCGCTCAAGCGCCGGGTCGACCGACGTTGAAAACAAAAACGAACCGACGATGCTCTTGCTCTCTTTCTCTGTCTGTCTCCTCCCTTCCGTACACTCGCTTCCTTCTTCTTCCTCTTCTGTCTCTCTTCTACTCCTCCTCTTGTTTGCTTGTTGTCTTGCTCTTTCGTTCAGACGTTTCTTCTGTTGTGAGCAAGGTACATGTCTTTATTTTTCCTTTTCCTTTCGTTTTACATGCCTACCTATGAATTATCTCTTACCTACGGTGCCCCCTTTGATCTAACCGTTCTGACAAAACACCAGGTTGTACAACACAACCTTCCACTTCTGTCGGGATTTGGGTAGATCAGACTCTTTTATTCTTATATCGAAATAAAATTTCGAGATCTGATTTCTTTGTTAAGATCTACTCTAAGTTAGCCTGTGACCACGGGAATCGACCGCGTCAAGTGTTGGATCAGTACGGACATATGAAGGTGCTGGGTAGAGAGAGATCGGAACGGTTTTTGATGTGAAGACAACAACAACAACAACAACAACAACAACAACTCGACGGATTTTCCTGAAGAAAGCATGCAAGTTTCAAATTTTCAAAATTTCAGCCCCAGCAAATATTCCGAGGGTAATGTCACCTCCCCTCCTCATCTCTCCCCCCTGGGGCCCGCACTGCAGCAAGCACTACTCCTCAACTGCTGCTGCGAGGTTTGTCCTGCTTTCCCCTTTGGCTGCGCCACTCACGATACATGGTGGGCATGGTGTGTAGATGGCATGTGGGATGTTTTTTAATGTTCGTCTCTGAAAATCGAGCTGTTGAACGTCCGAAAGAATGCCGTGAAAACGAAACACAGGGCACTTCTGGATACCCCCAGTCTCTGACGGTCTGGAACGACAGACTGCTGTGGACTAAAAGTAGAAATTTTAACACGGTTTTTTGTTGCTGCCCGACAGCGGTGCACTAGGTGCACACAGCCGGAAATAGCAAGGGATTACAGTCAAGCACCGCAGGGGAAAGAAAGGTGGGGAATAAAACGATACAAGATCATCAAGAAAAAGCTCTCCTGTGTGACCTTTCTCTTGTGTGACCCTGACTGATACGTCAGGTAAATACTGCAGCACGCCGAAAGGCCTGTAAACCGGCTCCAGAATAGATGGAACGAACACACGCGCCGCGATTGTGGCCTCAGAAACATATTTTTATTTTTTTGTTTTTTACCGCACTAAGACTGACGTCTTCTTATTGGTCAGCCAGCTAGCGCGGCCGATGCCTGTAAGAAAACAAAACACACGCAACTGCACACACTACGACAAATAATAACCCACAACCTACCTACCTAGCGGCGCGCAGCGAGCGGTAGGGTAAGGGGTAGTATTAGGCTCGCTATTAACGCAACGGAAAAGTCGTGCATTTTTTATCGGAACGGTGAAAAGAAACCCCGACTTGTGTTCGCTTGTTCTATTCGTGATGTCATCGCTACGCGAGGTTTCTGCTTTCTACTCATGTTCTCCTTGCTATCTGCTTGTAGATGCCCCAGCATTAATTGGTCTACATGTAGGTACTTGCAACCGCAGATAGAACCATACATACACGGCCGCACTGAGACTGACTGGCGTCCTACCATTGGTCAGCAGTTAGCGCGGTCGATGCTAATAGTACGGACAGACACAAAGATATTGGATCTTACATCGAAACCAACAACGGTTTCCGGTCGCCGCCCGGGACACCTACCGTCAAATATCCTCATGGCCAATTGTCATCACAAGAAGTAGCTGTGGTTGAAGCAAGCGTGTCCAATCAGAGGCACACCACTTTCTCTTGGGGGCCACGGTGTAAAACGTGGTTATTTTTTGTGTTGGCGGGGCGCGTGGGGGGGGGCGTACTCTTATGTTTTGCATGCCTTAGCGGTTAGACCATTGACCATGCGTCCTCGAGAGGACGGAGCATTGTTCCCACAGGACCGACTACCGATGGCCAATCGTTCCTTCCTACTTTGCCAAAGGTGGCTCAAAAATGTCTTCCCTAGTCTGTCTATCCTACCGATGTCCCTTCCCGCCTTTTCAAACCACTTCGGGGCGCGTTGGGGGGGGCTTCATTCGCGGCCGTTGGGGCATGGGTGCTGCTAGAAATGGACAATAGAGGAGGGATTCAGGAATTTCACAAGGGCAAAAACCCCTCATGTCGCCACGCCTACTCTTATTAGCAAGAACCACGAGAGTATGGAAATTTGCATGTTGCCGACACACCCAAAACATGTGAAACTCTCTAGTGCAGAAAGCGGAAGCCTTCGGATGGTCCTTCGAGCCAACATGAGGACATGAACCTCGACCCGAAATGAACGTTTCTTATCTGCTGGCTCAAACTGCTGTGATGGCAAGCCGAATAGAGCACAACGAGAACTTCTGATAGGAAAAAACACCAAGTGTCTGATACAAGCTGTTCAGCAGAGTAACCAAGCTTCAAATCGCTCCAGGTATCTCAAGGCGACCGACGGTCTGCAGTGGTCAGCCGATTACAGTACCGTGGTCGATGTAAGCAAAAAAAAACTCAAGTCCCTACAAAAAGCATAACAAGGGACCACTCGCACGCAGGGCGAGCTTGTCGTACATCACGTGTTGAGAGTGTCGAGACAAGTATTGTTTTCGGGAACCCTTACGGAGCGTCTCCAATTCTGGAGAAGTTCGAAAAGCTCGATGAATCATTTCGTATCCCTCCCTCTCTTCATCGCCCAAGAATCTTTTCGTTTTCGTTTGTTCGAACCATGGTCGTCTTTCAGTTCGTGTGCAAAAGCTATAGTCTGTGCTCTGGTTTTCTTGAGCACAATTGGAGGTCCTCTGTCGATTTTCTCGCTTACTATGCAGGTGGAACGACGAAAACATACAGATGATGGGGAACAACAATCAAACCCAAGTTGGTCGTGTGGTCAACTAACTTCACCTACACCTGGACAGACGGTTATCCTTGCGTATGCTTGAAACGCCCCACGACCAGGGCTAAGAACCTGATGCCCAGAGTATTCGACGATGCGCTGATTGGGTGCTGTCACTGGTGGACACGATCGATGTGCCATCGTAGCAGTGCAAGTATCGAACCCGTGTGCGACATGAAAAAAAAAAAACGGAGAACTGTGGGGCTCGACCACTGCAAGGGCGGTCGTTCCCGCGCGCTGTACCAGCAACAATGCGCTCATCGAGAGGGTAGATCCCGTTCTCAACCTGAATTTTGTGTGCGGCCTGGTCGAGAGGACCAAGACGGACGCGTAAATATAGGGGGGTAAGATGAGGCCGAACAATATCGACGGTGTCCCATTGTTTCCGGGCAATTCGCACCCGGGCAGCGTGTTGAACGAACCCCCCTTCCCCCCCTCCGCGTCTGGTTTCTGGGTTGGGCAGGGCAACCAAGTTCGGAGGAGATGGAGACGCTTACAGCACCGCTACGAGAGGCCGCGCAGCACGGGCGGAGACGGGCAGTGGGCGCCGACTGGCACTCGAGGCAGGCCGATCCGTCCAAGGCGGGCCTGTTCGATGATGTCGGGGACTGCATCCTGTTGTTCGGGGGGTTCTGCAATGGTGAGAAAAAAAGGAGGAGTTATATCAGTCCATTGTGGCGTTGCCTCGGCGAGGTCCATGTTGGGTGTGACTATGATGGCCTTTTCCGTGCTGGTCTCCTTGTTGATGGCTGGCCTGCCGTCGCCGAATATTGGATCCGAAGTACGCGTTTGACTCGATAGGGTGGTGGCGATGTCGAAGAAAAAGTGGCTCACCGCCGCTGCTGCTGTGACTGCCAGCTTCAGAAGCTCCATCAGCAACTGCAACGTTTGATCAAAGCACCCGGCATTATACACATTCTTTGCATAACTGGTCCAAATACGCGTCGGACGTGATAGGTGTCGAAGAATATTGGCTTGCCACCGCGGCTGCGACTGCCAGCAGCAGAATCACCATTACCATCACCATCATCAGCATCAGCAGCAGCGTTTGGGAAACAACGCCCGGCAAAATGATTGTTTGGCGAGTGTCGCCAAGCCTATTTGACTCGGCACACGGAACTTTAGCGCATTCACCTCTGTTTCTGACGCGAATCAACCTCTTGCCAGGCAACATGGGTGATGTGGTGCAACCAATCGCGATGCAAGACCTCCTAGCTTCTGTCGCACCGGACCAGTGTTTTTGGTACGCACACCCGGCCGGAGAATATCTCGAAAGGGGTTACCGCATCGGCGAGTTTTTCGGCGGGGACGACTCGAAGGTGTTCCCCCTCACGCCCGACCTCGCTTGGAAGGTAACGAAACACACATACATACACCACTTTTTTTTTTTTTCGCGGACAGCGAGTGTCCTGGCCCTTCTTCTGCGCCCCCGGCTCCAACAGAGAGTGGACACTCTCCCCCGAATCACACCGACAGTTCGCCCACCAGGTAGCTCCCGCGAGGTGATATCGTGTGTATTGTTGATGTCGTTCTCGATAGGGTGGAACGACGCTAGTGTATCCCAAGAATTTGGGGGGGGCAATATGTATCATTGGGCCAGACACTATTTTTCACCCGGTTGGTACAACATTGCAGAAAGGAAAATAAACACGTATGAATCTTCATTTTGGTCTTCAAGGCATATCCGTGTGCCTTGGTGTTTTCTGTTGAGAGGAAACTCTCACTAGCTTGTTGCCTGGAGCAGTAGAAGTGTCCGGGGAAACCGTTGTGGCTGTCCGATCGAAATTGGCAAGTTTTTCCGAGTTCTTGAAAACGAAGACAAGAAAGAGCTAGTGTCAAGATTGTTCTCACAGCATTTCATGGTTTTTCCGGAACAGAAACGGCTCCATTTCACGGGGCAACCTCGAGAGATTTTTTGTCGGGACGGAAGAACACGGACACATGTGAATCGGACCATTCGGTTGGGATGGGCACCGGCTGGGACTCTCGAGCATGACTGTCGTTTTAGCGTTCCGTGACACCGTTATGCGCGCGTGCACGCCGGCGTGCCGTCACAGCGTACTGCGGTGGACTAACCCCATTATCGAAACGGCTTGACGAACACACAGGTAAATCGGTTCAAGGCCTTGGTTATCGGTGGCGGAGGGATTTTCGCAGCGACCCACCAGCCGTTGCAAAACGACCAATTTGCAGAGGCCTTGACCCTGCCGATAGTCGTGATGGGAGTGGGAGCATCGTGAGTGTCGCGTTCCTTCGGCTTCCCGCTGTCTCTTGCAATATTCGGTTGGAAGCGGGGGGTTGGATCGATTCGCAGGCTCGTTGAGGGCTGCACCAACCGTCTCGTAGACTCATGGTCGCGTACGAAACGAACGGCCAATGATGCTACGAGGCCGCGCTCTGTGTGTCGGTTGGATTGATTCGCAGGCTGAGTAAGGGCTCTACACCAACCGTTTCCCATGTGCTGACTCATCGTGGGGTAGGAACCGAATGGCCACGATGCTACGAGGCACGCTTTGTGTATGGGGACCCTTTCTCGAAGGCTCCCCGCGGGTACAATACCCCGTAGGCACCCTAGGGATATTGTGCTCCCGCCAGGGTGACGATGCCTTGCGAACCCATCCCCTCCTCCCCTGTGGGTGACGCAAACCAAGGACGCCTCCACGCCTTGCCACCAAGGAAACAAGAACCGCGAGCACCTTCGTCTTTGGACAGTATTTCGACAGCAGACGTCTCTCGTGCATGCGTGCGCGCTGCTTTCGACCGCTGGCGTCCGCCGGTCTGTTGTCGTTTCCTCCCCCCTGTCAGCTACCGCGCGAAGACCTACAGCAAGCTGCTGTCGAAGGCGGTGTTCGTGTCCGGCCGCGATGAGACGTCGATCAAAACGTTCAAGTCCGTGCTGGGGCGCGATCCCAACGCGACCGTGGCCCCCGATGACGTCGCTCTCGTGAGGGACCCCGTGTTGAGCAACAAGATGCTGTCTGACAAAGAGGGCAGTTGCTGGAAACGGAGCGCAGGTGAGCACCGCTGGCTTTTGACTGGTCCGAGCAGAGTAAATGGAAGAGACTATCGGGGAACCAATTTTCGTTTCATGAACGGGAGAGTTGTCTTTTGCGATCGGAAGGTACCTGACACTAAGAGCTCAAGACCCGCGTTTGGGTTTGTTTTCACACGCCAATGTTCAATGCTATTGGTCGGTTTCCCCGGCAAGGCGAGACCCACGCGAGATGAACACCGCAGCCAGCTAAGACAGGAGGAAAATGAAGTTGTTATCTTGCCGCCCCAGCCAGTCAGCCGTCAACCACGCTGATTTCTTGCACGTTGCCGCTTGCATTTTGTTCGCGCTTCTCGCCTTTGTTTCACCGGCTCGTGGTTCCCGTAGGCGACGATCAACAGCCCCTATGTTTCGTAGTACCTGCGGCCAACACGCAGGACACGATTGAGATGCACGAACACCTGCTCAACGCTGTGAGGGAGGGCGACAGGTTCATCAACGTTTTCCCGAAGCATCAGAAGGAGATCGAAAAGGTGGGCATTGGCATGGATTGCGTTGTGCGGTCGCTCGTGTTTATATTATTCTCCCGTGTTCCCGCCCACAGACCAAGCATTCGTGTGTATGAGACAAGTATGGGGGCGTTTCGCGTCCCTTTCACATCATGCCATCCTGGGTGTCACTGAATAACCCCTCTCCCCCGCCTCTCTTCCATCGGGTGCTGTGAAATTCGCCCCCCGGACCCCCCGAGAAGTTCGCGTACCCCGGCGCAGTGGAGCAAATCGTCGATCCGATGGAGTACGTCGAGCAGCTGTGCAATTGCAAGGCGATCATCTCGACCAGGCTCCACGGCGTGGTGCTGGGCCTGCACATGGGCGTGCCGACCTTCGCCGCGTTCCGTCTCCCCTCGGGCAACAAGGTGCCCGACGTCATGGCGCGCGCCATGTCCCTGCCCGACCAGTTCCTCCAGATCGACGAGGACCTGGACCGCGACCTGGTGAACGCGGCGGTTAGTCGCGTGAGGCAGCTCTACGAGGAAGGGGATCGCCGGGCGGTGATCCACGACCGGCTGTCCGCGCTCCACGACGAGTTCATCGTGCACGCGCGCCACGTGCTCGTCGACGTCCTCGGGGTCGGGGACCACCACCAGCAGCAGCAAGGACCAGATGTGGTGACGTCTGTACAACACGCTCAGATCGACAACGGACTCCTGGCGCCGCAGGCGGCAGTGAGCGCCGCGGCGGCCCTGAACGGCACACCGGCGGAGTGGTCCGTGCCGTCATGGTCGCACAAAATGATGCCGGCATCTGTCCGCTTGGACTGCGTTGCCGCCTTGTTCTTGCTCTTCGCCATCATTGCGTTGGCCGCCTTGCCCTCGAAGACGGGCGGTGGCCGCGGTGGGGGTCGAAGCCCTCGGGTACTCAAATCTGACGCAGCCAATGGAGACAAGAAGGGCCTCATTGCCGTCAGCGGCATGGAGCCTGCCCTAGGGAAGGCCACTGCCCACCAAGAAATGGAAGAGCACTGCGGCATGACCGATGCCGCCAGCCCTTCCAGCTTCAGAGATTCCGAGCTGGGTTCCCGAGACTCTCTGTCGCCAGCACAACGAAGCCCCGCCACGAAACAGTCGGGCTTCCCAGCTACCAAGAAAGGACCGTCTCTCAACTTTCTCTTCGCGCTCAACTTCATCCTGTGGATAGCTCTGGCGGTGGCCTTCAGCAGGTACAGCAAGTCCTATCTTCGGGATACGCAGGACCCCGTAGGCCTCCTCGTTCTGCAGGGGTCGGTCGGGGTCGTGGTCCTTTGCGCTCTCGGACGTCTGGGCTTGGGTGCCACCGACGAAGGGCGTGCAGGAGGCTCGGTCAGTGTGCTAGGCCAGCTCGTGCAGCCGTTTGCTACTAGTCGACTGGCCGGGCTAGCGGCGATCCTCCACACCTGCCAGGCCTTTCTCACGAGCTTCTCCGTGTTCGTTGGCGGCGTTGCCGTGACGAGCGCGCTCAAGGCCACCGAGCCGGTCGCTGCCGTCGCGTTCTCGCACCTTATCCTGGGCAAGACGGTTCACCGCATCAAGCTGGCGTCGCTTGCGGTCATCATGGCGGGAATCGTCTTGTTGACCACGAAAAGCACGGCCACAGCAGGAACCGCCCACGAGGCAGCGGAAGAGGGAGGAGCCACGCCCCACAGCCCGGTGGTGCTGGCAGCAATGTTCACCATGGCGGCCGTCTGCTGCAACGCTCTTCGCAACGTGCTGATCAAGAAGGGCGACCCTGTCCCACCGCATCAGACCCTCCTGGCCTGCAGCTTAGCAGCGGCGGCGATCGGCGTCAGCCTCATGGCGTTCAGGGTCGTGATGAGGAGCATGGACGACCTGCTCCTAGGCCCCGCTCCCGGAGGCGTGGTCGAAGCCGCGGATGCCGCCCGTGAGGGCAACGGCGCTAGCTGGCTGAGCATGGAGGGCGTGAACGCGGCCCTCTGCTTCGTCGGGTACAACCTCGCCTCGTTCAACCTCCTGGCCCAGCTCAGCCCGGTGGGCCACGCCGTGGGTAACTCCGTCAAGAGGGTGGTGATGTTCGGAAGCGGGATCCTGCTCATGGGGGAGGTGATGACAGGGCGGCAGCTCGGAGGCACCGCCGTAGCCCTGACGGGCGTCCTTGTGTACAATCTCGTTGGGTCTACCGGGTAGTATCGCTGCGAGGTGCGTGGGATGGATGGGGGGTGGGGGGGATGGATGCTGCTTGGCGTGTTCGCAGATAGCTTGGAGTTGCGGCGTGCATGCACACACTAGAATGCAGTTGGGGACGAAAGCTCGTTGGCTGCAGCTGTGAGTTTGCAGGCAAGGCATTGCTCCCGGTCAAAGGCCGTGCAATGTCAGTGCCACGCATGTCCGTGGCAACGGTTGTCGTAAAGATCAGCCCTTGTCCCTGTGAAATGCACGAGCTTGTCGATGGCGCTGTGGGCAGCCTACGGCGTGCGGCGTGTGTGCTTGATGTGAAAAGAGTGCGAAGGCGCTCGGACAGGGTATAGCTGTCAGATTTTCAGATGGATGTCGAGAGCCGCCAAACCTTATGCGTGGTGGGTGTTGTCTGCAGGTACTCGGAGTGTGCTCTGTTGGCGGCTGACGATTTCCTTGCAGGAACCTGGGGCGTGGCGACATTATTTTAATAGCTCGGAGGTATCTGTCAGGTGAAAGACAAGCCTGCCTGGGTGTAGCATGGTTTTCATGCCTTCTGTTTGTGTAAGGGGCGTCGGCAGATGTGTATATGTTCTTTATGCAGCAATTAAGCTTTCATTTCCTCAAGTACATCATTTCCTCTTTGCCCTCCACTATTATCGAGTGCGTTACATGGTCTAGGCTTTTGGTGCGTCTACACGTTGGGTGTGCAACGCCGCGAAAATGGTCAGAAATTTCCCGTATCGATCCGATCGGGCACGGTGTCGAATACTGCGGCCCCTATGCTGCTCTTCCGAATTTGACAGTATCTAGCGACATTTCATTATCTTGTACCATGCCTTTTGCACTGAAAATGGCATCCTGTAGTTTGCAAAGGGGGTGTGCGCTGTGCGTGTAGCAGCACTGCGACGCGTAATGGGGTTGGCGGTCTGATGTACAGTAAGTAGTACATGCGAGGCTAGAGAGCCTGAAGTAGAGGCATTACCGCCTCGTGCACGTGACGCTCGAGAGCCTGAAGCATGGGCAGAGCGCCTCGTTCTTTTTCGCACTGCCTTATAGCTGCGTTTACGTTGGATGTTTCTTGTTCGCTCGTCTTTGGAGTCCCCTTGGACGGTCAATATTTTGACCTCGTCGTATCGAATTTACGATATGCCGCTCGATTTACGGCAGACGGATAGGTGTTTGTGGTTCCTCTCGTCTTGACAGGTTCATTCTGTGTCTCACTATCTCATTGTCCTTTTACTCCATCGATGTCGTCACGTGTTTCACGGCATGGTTTCTGTTTAGTCGTTCTCGCGCTATTACCTTTCCGCTCGAGCGTCGCAGTTTGGATTTTCCGCATGCCTCTTAAGTCTGTTCAGGGTGTGTACTAGAGATGAGGTCCAAACATGAGCAAGTGGGCGTTAGGTTTGAAGCCATTGCAATAGAAGGAACTCATAATTCAAAGTATATAGGCTCGAATATTCTCCCGGTTCAAGTACTGCAAGTCGCAAAAGATGCAACATCCCCTGGACGGAAGGTCAACGCCCGATTACTCCATGACGAAGAGGATGACAACATGGCACGTTAGTTGTTTAGGAAAGCTCGTGACTTGATGGCTCCAACGCCGCAAATCCCGACACTGGAAGTCCTTAGTTGTTGGAGAGTAATCGAGCGTAGTGTACCGATCGGGGGTGGGTGTGGAAGTAAATGTGACGTACGGTGTATGCGTGGTAGTCAGGCTGTGTGTAATACTGAAGTAATGTTGTTCCTGATTGTTGCGTTTTTATGTTACATGTTGGATGGCGGAATGTCTCTGTATTGCAGAAGACAACGATTCCCAAAGTAGGACAGGGAGCCTCGATATGTGGTACTGTGCCTGCATACTAGCAAACAACAAGGTGGAGGTCTAGCTACGAAATGAAAGTATTTCCACCAAGAAATGACAGTGGTGAGTTCCCAGATATCTCACCAGGTACTGCACAGAACCGACGGGAATAGCGCGATGACTGAATGATCCCACGCCCCCCAAATCACAAAAGTTTGCATCGCACACCCGGGGCGCGAGCATGCCATCTCTCGGCCTGCTGCACGACTTTTCACCCCTTCACTGTGCTTTGGTTCGGGGAACTTGCATGTATATGTCAATGAGTGTGGGTGTCTTTCTGACCCAATTCTTTCACATGCGTACAGACTGGGGGCATTTCAGGCAACGCTCATACAGACAGTGCTGAGACAAGCACGTGGTGTGCTCCACGGGCAGCTTCGCGGCTTGTCCTCGGGTAACCGTTTTAGCTATGGTACGCATCCAACGCGGCACCCCTTTTTCGACATTCAAGTCAAATGCATCTATCTCTATCTCCCTACAGTATCTGCGTACATATTGTGCCGTGCACAGAATTCACACTATTAGATGATGAGTGAGGCCAGGTTGCGGGGTGCATGGGGCAAATTCCACCCCTCTCCCCATGCCATGCATTTATGAATATACGCACGAATATTGGAAAATCCAAGGATTTGATTACGTTGTTTTCACCTGAACAAGATGTTGTGGGCGTCCGGGAAATAATCGCGAAGCCTTCAGAACGGAGGGAGATTTTTGTCGCTGCGCCCTGTTGTTGTGCACAGACCTCCGTTTTCCTTTTTCTCACCTGTGCGGAAGTTCGCCTGTACCAACGAGGGTCCATTCACATCGCATCGAATGAATCTTTGGTCTACGCACGAAACAAGCGGGATTGTATCGATGTACTGCTGTGGAAAGGGCCGTATGAACTACTGTGTACATGGCTTACGAACACTGTGATCAGACGAACTGATGTTTTCTGCGTACGCTAAAGCGAGAGCGTCATCGACAACATGGATGGGTTTACCCCATTCAGACACCAGCTCACCTGCAGTGCGACAATAGGGTTCTCTCTAGCCCGTCAGACAACAGTGAACAGGCGTCTGTGTTGTTTCCAAGCAACCTTTGCCAGGGTTGAAGAGAGGACGCAGGAGCGCCATATGGTTGAACAATGTTGGACACATCTCCGAAGATCACAATACTAGGGGTTTCCACTGGCACAAGAGGCATTTCCAAGTAGAGAGAGCGAGAGAGAACTTCCATGCAACCTCGACTTGATGGCCAGCAACGCCATCCACCGACGGGGTCTGTGCGAAGTGTTCACAAACTTCCCCGCGACACTTGCGCAGGTCAGACCTCAGCCAAAGATCACACACAGCAACTTGCCGGCGGGGGGGGCATAGATAGGAGAAGCAGCCCCCTCTGTGGATAGCAGTTGCGCGGCCCCTACGCACTGCAGTTGCTGCAGCGATCCACAGCGTTGCACACACCACAGAGCAGCGAGAGAGAGGGCTCGGTGTGGCATTTTGGTGTGTGCCCATCGGTGCGTTGGCAGCTTGTTTCCTTTTTCCCTCCCTAGACCTGCTGAGAGACGCTACGAAAGGTAAGAAGGGCGTGAGGGTGCGGCAGCAAGCGTAGGCCAACAGCTGGATCACATATGCATATTCACTTGCTGTTTTGAAGCACAATCGCTTCGTTGGCACCTGCTGCGGAGCTGCTGTGGAGGAGCTTGTCCTGCGTCCATGACTCCGCATAGCGAATGGAAGAGGATCCCTTGATTTACGGTATTTGCCGATATTTAGCGGGAGACTGCCTGCCGTCGTCTATGTAGACCACAGTAGTACGTTCAGCTTGAGAAAACTCCTGTCTTACAGTATCAACTCGTTGGCTCCGGGAACAAGCAGCGGTTATTTGGGCACACCAGAGCAACGGCTTCATTAGAAGGCCTCTCACCACTGCCTCTCCTCTTCCCTCGCCGGCTTCTCCGCTCTCTACCGCAAGGAAGGGTCGCTTGCCCCAAAGATGCCTTAAACGTCCGCTGCGACCGGCGGCGCATCCAGAGTGTTTTCCGCGACCTGGCCACCGTACGCTCCAGCATCTATGGGAGAAGAGGATGACCAGCAAGCCGACAGGGACGACCGGCAGCGCGGTCCCTACTGTCAGGTGCGACTCGTGCAGGAAGCTTCCCAGCTGAAACTTTACGTTTAGACCGTGCATCTGAAACTACATACCACATGCACATAAGACGACGATGCATTCTTCTACTGTACATCAGCAGTACACGAAGTCCCGCATTGGCATGTACTTGGTGGGACTATTTTCTCTCCGTCGGCAACATTTGGGAGTGGCTAACCTACGTCCTGGTTCCCATTCCTTGTTCTTTGGGGGTGTCGGGAACAATGGCCAACCATCCTTCTAGAATTAGACAGGCAGTGATCGGTGCTCAAATATGTATCGTGTCAGGCAGGCCCACGGGGCCCCTGAAATCCCCACCTGCATCCTTCACTGTCAAGGCCGATTCCACTGTCAAAATTGCTATCGTCGCCGCGCACTACCATATTTTGCTTGCAGGTCGAAATTCGGACCCTCCGTGCACGCACGAGCGGCGCCGCTTTCATTTCAAGTTCAGGTGAGACGGAAATGATGCACATAATGCCGCCGTGGTTGACGCTGGCACTTCCGAACTCACCACTCATCGAATGCATCTACTACGCATACCATGCACCCGCAAATATTAGTCTTGCCTGTAAACAAGATGATTGATACTCGATTCCCGCAGTGAGTCACATCATCCACAATCCTACTAGAAGGCAAGACACGTGCTGGAATAGTGTGCTGTATCGTCACTCCGTATTTCACTTTTGAAATCAGCTAGAGTTCATACTTAGGGACGTATAGTTGGTGTTCACTCCGTGAGGGCATACGCTAAAGCAGAAGCCCACAGTAGTATGCATATGGTTATTGTAAATGTCTATGACAAATAATTGCAGCATATTGGCTGCTGAGCTGAGGGATGGTGTAGTACTGGAAAACTGTGAATATTTCCACTCATCCTGGCTACAAACTCGGCCAGCTGCATGTTGGGGATGTGGGGTTCGTTCCTATTGTAATCTTTCGTCTCGGTGTTGACATTAAAAGGGCGAGTATCGTCATGAGGCGTACGTCCACCAAAGGAAACGAAGAGCAGCTTCGATATGCGCATCGGAACAACTTGTGAAATAGCCTGTTCAATCGATTTTCATTCAGTGAAGCCACAAGACATCATTCACGGCTCCCTCGGGGACTGAAACTGAGACGAACCTGGGGAAAGGAATGTACTTTTCAAACGAGTACCGAAATGTGGGTTGACTACTTCATTTTAGGCCGGTGCCTGACTGTGTCGTACCCGCAAGATTCAACTAATCGATCAAGCCTGTGCGCCGTCACGTGCACGTACGTACAGATATACCGGGTTCGACGTCGTAGACTGACAAATGAACAGCAAGTTGTAGGACAGCTGTCCTTGACCAAAGTAGTGTTCAACTGCTTTTAATATCCCTCCTTCGTGGACGTCAGCATGTCCTCGACCAAAAGTGTGCAACTGCTTTTAATATCCCTCCTTCGTGGACGTCAGCATGCAAATTGAGTGCTACTGTGGCACACCAACATCCTCCCGGGCCCGTTCTAACTGACGGCGTGCAGAGGCCGCCACCGACCAAGGCGAAGGCGTTGACCTTCTTTTCGTCGAGCGCGAGCTGCTCGTGCGGAGCTACAACAGCGTCTCGCTTTCTGACGACGGCACCTATAGCTTGACACTCTCCGACTGCTACGGATTCATGCCGATTACGACGTCTTCTTCTCTTGCCAGACGAGTATCGAGTGCTTCTTGGCAGTCACGCAATCATGACGGGGGAGATGCCGGGAGGCGTGAACGGCATACGGCGGAGATTGTTCGTCTATTGTTCCTTCCCCTGCCTTCATCGATCAAGTTCGAGGTGAACAGTGGACAAGTGAGTATGGTGTAGGAGCACCTCTGATCCACTCTCAGGGAATCAGTTCACTCGATGCGGAGTGTTTGTATTTGCCGTTCATAAAAAGCATTGTTGAACTGATACCGACCACGGTGCGCCTCAGATTTGGGCATCGAATGCACGGTCAACGACTCCGGAGTGAATGCATACAATGGATTGCGATCGATTTGTCATGTCTAGACCCGGACCCGCACGGGAAGGCCACGCACGTTGGCTGGGATGCGTCCCTCGAGGTAGTCACTCCGCCTGTCATAGCATATTTTCTCTCATTTCGGGCCCTCGCCTCTATTTCCCTGTTCCTCTTCTCCTGCTACAATGGGCGTACGTGCGCCCCGTGCCGTTGCATTGACCGAACTCCGCGCATACCTAAGGCGACAAGCAGTGGCGCCGTCATCGGCAACTTTCACCTTCTCCCCGTGGCCCACGTGCCCCAGCAGCAGCACGCGCCCGTCTTCAACGCAGAGACCACCATCACGTCTCCGGGTATCAGGACCGCCGGCCACGCCAACTACACGCCTCAAGTCCCCGTGCTACATGAATCATCCCGCCCGTATTTATTCTCTGCAACGGCGGCCGCCGATGATTCACTCTGTGAGAGGGGAGAAACGGACTGCACCGGAGAGGGGCCAGGTATCGACGAAGGTACCGCGCTGTCTTCAATTGGAGGCGGCTTCGCGCGGGGAGTAACGGTAGGGGTCGTTTTTTCTCTGCTGCTTGTCCTCGTAGTCTCCAGAGGAGGATGGGGCAAGGGCTTAATGGAGAACTTCTGGACTCGACTCAAGGGCGACGGTGATGCAGGGATGAGAAAATCCGGGTGGAGGGATTTCATCGTCAGCGTCGGGGGGCAGAAGGGGGTGTCGTCATGCCAAAGTTCTGCACCTCGAAAATGAAAACTGAAATCCCGCCCGCTTCCGCCCAAACTCCAAGTAGACTACCGGCATCTATGCAGCGTATGCGCTTCAGGACGTAGAAGGACATTTGGTGCCAGGTTTCTGGGCTCCGGCAGAACCGGCCACGCACACCCAGACCAAGAGATGTAGGTGTATGGCAAAAGTGATTGCAGTACTCCCCTCCCCTTCGTATTCACTCCGGTATTGCATTCTATATCTTTGGCCCGGCAGGAAGACGGCGTACCGCATGGCGTCGATGCGCCAGGCAAGAGTAACGACGGCTCCAGCGACAGCGACGAGACCGTTATCGAGAATGTACCTGAGCCGGTGGGGCTACCTAGGTACGGTGAACCACCTGCTCGCTTTCCAACAAACAGCTTACAGCATTTTTGTTCGAACAACTAAAATTGTAGTGCCCCCCAAAATCCAAGTTCGCTCCGAAAAACGTTGTTCAATTTCTGTCGGTAGACCAAGCCTTTGATTTTCGCTCCATCAAACAGACGGTTAACCGTAGGTTTTGACGCTTTATCTGATCCTCCATTGCTGTGGCCCCGTGCTGTATCTTGTGTGAGCAGGAGCGAGGAAGACTGGCGGGTCTTATTCGATACCCTGTACGAAGATTAGTCGGCGCCGCGGCGGAAGTAGCGATGATCCCACAAGCCGCGTCGCCCAGCCATGGACGGGCTTAGGTTGCCATGACGCCATCAATCGGTGCCCAGTAATGATGGATCCCCTCGTCCCCTTCTACCGCTAAAATTCCCCTTTGGCACGTACCCGGGTTTAGCAAATTGTTGAAGGCATTGAGCAGCCGTCCACCACGATATCCTTATCTAGCCGGCATTCTTGCCTTCGCTTCAGTACGAACGAGAGATCCGTGTAGACCCAAAGAAGTGAGTATCTGAAATTGCTATCTCAAGATCTTGACCCTAGGCGTGATCAAGAGGGTTGACTTCCTTTTGCGGCCAACATCAACCACGGCAAATATATCACGCGTCAAGACTACTACCGCGTTCGCGACGAGTGCAACTGAAAGAGGTATATTTGGTAGAACGGGATTCAACCACTGCCAACCAAAGAGTCGAAATTGTTTCCGAAACACCGAAACACCGGGGTCTTGGTGCACGCATCGTATGAGGTAGCGAGTTTTCAAAAACACAATCGACCGCGTGAAGCAAGCACAGACCTAAAAACAAAAAAGTATGAATCGAAAAAGAACGGAACACGTCACAAGGACATCACATCAGTACCACGTGGTGGCGGTGTGCCATAGACTAGTAGGTATTCGATATCTTCGTCAATAACCAGGAACGGAACATCTACCGAGACTATATAGCGTAGGTATTCTAGAGCAGCGTCACCACGCAACGAGGACGCCACCAACAACAACTTCAACAACAACAATAACGACGAATACGACGACGACGACGACGACAACAACAACTAACAAGGCAAGAACAAACAACAAATGCGAAGGAAACAACGTCAACGCCCCGCAACACATTCAACAGATTCAAACAAATTTGGACAAGCTGCGACCTAAGATCATTCGTCGGTCGAACACAAAAAACAGTCAAACTGGCCAAGGGTGCATCTACCGAGAGTGCAGAACGACATGATACGGGGAGCAAACCAGCACCTGGGACATCACAAACTTTAGACACATATGTACACAAACGCTGCCTGACCCAGGCCCTCCGAATCACACCCGGCCACATCGCTGCCTAACCCTAACCGCATCACCGGAGCGTGTGGTGCGGTCTCCATCGCCATTCGCATCTCTCCTTGGAAGGAAGTCGGCGCCGGTCTACAATGTAGTCTAAACTGAAGAAGACACGAGTTACAGTGCACACGTGTACAGAATTGCACGCCGAAAGGCGTTGCGAGCAACAGACCTCCTGTGCGAGCCGGGCCGCTGCGAAACACATCGGTGTCCTCGAGGACGGCCGTTGCACGAGTGAAGATGGCGGTAGAGCTCTTCGCTGGGTTCGGGTGATGCCAATCCGTCACCGCCCCCGCCACCGTTGCCCCGCCCGGTGCGTCTTTCCGCTCCGGGGCTACTGCTGATGCAGTTGACCGGAAACTTCCCGCGATCCAACATTGACATCGCGTGCTGCCAAGGTAAGCGGTAAAGAGCAAGGCACGAAAAGCACGAAAAAGCGACTCAGGAAAGACATTTTCGACTGATACACCTCTAGACAAGGATTCAGCTACTCACGACACTGTGGTATAGACAACCAAGTGTGCGAGAGAAAAACTACGGAGCGCTACCGCAAGGTGGAGGCGGTTCACTTTAAGTCCGATAGAACCCTGCCCCTTGAATAAATAGTATAATACCCCCACCGCAACACGGCACGTCTCAACAGGAGTACCCACGGTTTTTGACCAAGTCTTGGAGGGGACTAAGGCGACCTTGCTAGCTGCCAGTGAAGCTGCGTATCGCTCACAAGAGGGCGCAGCGCGGATGGAGCAAGTGTGTGCTGTGTGTGGTGAGCTCACCTTGGCCTTGGGATCACCGCCCAGCATTGCGGCTACCCGCTCTGACGTTCGGGAAGGCAACGCGCGCACTAGGGTTTCGAATTGTCGCTCGTAGTGCTCGTACAGCACCTCGTCGACCAGGTTACACCCTCTGCAGTAGCAACAGCGGTAGCAAAGCAACAGCAAACAGCCGCAGCACCAACACCGCCGGCATTAAAAAGAAGCGGGGCAAGAAAGCAACGAGACACAGCGCAATGTCGCAAGAATCGCCACGTGCCTCCGCAGCATACCAAGGTCACCTGCAGCAGAATCGATGGTTTAGAGCAAATGTGTGGCAGGAGACGAAGACAGAAAACAACGCCAAAACCTCCATTCTCTGCCCAACTCTGGATTGGTTTCGACACACAAAGCAGGTCAACATTGTCAACCGCGCCTACAGGAGTCTGTGTACCGTCGACTCAGGAGCGCCCAGCTGTGTTTAACGAGTGGTACTGCGTGCTGCCGAAACTAGATCAACGGGCGGAGCTGTGATTCGGGTTATAGTTCCCGGCCAGTTCGGAAGTACAACGTCCGACAAGAGTCGTTTTCGACCGCATTACAGCTTGTCATGCTTCACGCTCCCGCTTCCGGTCGCGCAACTGGCCATGACAGCCAACCCTGGTTGGTAGTGAGTTAAGGGCCATTCCTCTTCTACTCTAAAAAGCAGAGCACAACACATACAGTACTTCAAACGACGATGGGTCATACGGATGAGACTTCTTCAACTGCATCGTTTCTACCCTCTAGAGAACGGGTGCTCCTAGGGTATTTACTACATGCAACTGTGTCACGGGCTCTTGGTTTAGAGAAGAGCACGGAGGGTGTATGGTTTCGAAAACCTGTTGCTGCGGCGTGCGTTGGCGGCATTGATGCCGTCCCCATACAAGACCACGGGAGCTGCAACAGGGGCGTCACATGCCACCGGGTCAGGGCCACCGGCGGGTGGCCCGTGTTTGGGGTGTCGGCGCGTGTACTATGTTATCACGCTGGCGGGCTCTTGTGGAGAGCGTGTTGCACAAAGGAGTGACTCAAGTTCCTTGATTATTAGAGAGAGAGAGTTTAACGAGTGACAGACGTGAGCAAGAAGAGGCAAAGCCTGCTGCACCAAGTCTCTCTATCATACCCATATCTATCTCATCTGCGTAACCCCCTCGGAGATCTCGGGAGAATTGTATCCTGCCGAGTACACACACAAACAGCCCCCCTACTCGGTACGAGATACGATCTACGAGATCCTTCGTACATATCGCCAGGTAAAACGGCAACAAATCTAAAAGCCATTCATCTTTCGTATCCACAAATCATCTCAACTCCCGGATCTATCGAATATTCAAATTTCAGGTTGTTACTACTCCTCCTTATGACTATGGAACTTCACTAAGAGTCTTAACAAGTACCCCTCTCGAGAAAATGTCATCACCATATTCTCAAGCAGTAAAAAACAATGAATCACACTTGGAAAAATACTCAGCAAAGATCAACATAACGTCAGAGCCACGTCATAAATAAAGACTCTGGACGTACAACTCTGGCAAAACGCGTCAACAAAAACTTCGAACAAAATCCTCGCACAAAATTATGTTTCAGCTCATTGACCAATTTAAAATAAGCTTCGGAAGCACATAGGCCTCAACCATGTCTTACCAAAACATGCCAAATCCTTCCTCCAATACATCGTTCAGACCAGTCATCAATACCAAATACATGCGGCACAAATAGACAAACGTAAAATAAAAACCCGGCGTTCGAAGACGCCAGAGGAAACTTTCGCCAATTATGCCGTTTCTCAAACATCGAGGCATGGATTTCTTAACAGCCCCCCTGCTGCATCATCTCCCAAAACACAACAGCTTAACAGCCCCCCCTGCTGCAACAACTCTCGGATCCAAACAACGAGAAATCAAACAAATATCATGAAGTTACCTCCGAACTCCGCGGGAAAAACGCGGAATCGCCAATGAACAAGAAATGTATTTCTTATCCTAGCAACGAGGAATCAGACAAGTATCATGAAGTTGCCTCAAACTCCGCAGGTAAACGCGGAATCGCAAACAAACAAGAATTGAGGGCTTCTCCTCATTTTCCGCAGGTAAAACGCGGAAAATGTGAACAAAATGAACAATCAAACCCGAACGTCCGCTAGAACTCTGCTTGTACTGCGGCGAAGATCATGGCATCTTAGCATCACATTCATCCCCCCCCATGATTTTCGACAGCAGTGCTAGTAGTGACCCAACAACATCAACTGCACCATTCGGCGCGGTGAAGTCCTAGACTATGCAAACCGTATCCTTGACAAATGAAAAACGCATGTACCACAGACCATAAACACCACGTTCGTTCGTGCGCATCGCAACACAGCAGCCTACGTCGACGCAGTTCTCAAACTCATGGCTTTCAACAAACAAAATCGACCCAGAAAATAGATACAAGTCAAATAAACATAATTCTCACGAACGTGCCTGAATCGCGCGTAGACTCAATGTGCAACCACCGGTCATCTCGCACGGTAGCTCCCAAACACGTAGCCTCTCAATTCATGCCGCACCCTTCCAGCCACGATCGAATGTCCAGCCCTGGCATTACCCCCCATCGTCCCGCACCACGCAAATACCATCGTACACGGTCGGATGGGCGCCGGGATGCCCCGCACCCGCACCCGCACCCGCAGACAACGCCACGAAGCTGCCATCGCCGCTGCCGCCGTTGCTGTTGCCGCCTTCGTCGCCATTGTCCAACCAACAGCCATCCTCATCGCACGCGTCCTCCGTTTCTTGCGCTGCTGGTGCCGGTGTAGCTGCTGATGTGGGCACTGCGATCGCCCCCCCAGTTGATACGGCGGGGGGTATCTGGCCGCAGGTCGATGAAACCTCCAGTGCCACCGTTCCTGCAGCTGACGGCGCCCCGGCCGTTCCCCCCATCGACGAGTCGGGGAAAACACCAATACCTGTCGTCGTCCCCACCGTTGTTTCCGCTGCTGAAGCCACGCCTGCTGACGACACAAGTGGTGGGCCCGGCTGCACATGCAGTGCCGGTTTCTTGGCCGCCAATTTCCCCCATTGCCTCCGTATGTCAGCAAGCTCTTCTTTCATGCTTTCGAGTTCATCCGTTCCCCCCGCCACCGTAGCGGGGAAACCACCACCACCGGTCGCCGCTCCCACAGCAGTTGCTGTGCCCCATGCCACCGCTCCATCTGCAAAGGGGAGGAGCGACTCCGGCTGATGCCTGAGGCTGTCCATCCTCCAGCGTCGTCGCTTCCGCTGCTGGTACGGCATAGTGTCGTTGCCACTCGAGTTGAGACCCTCTCCATCACCGACATGCACGTGCCGTTGCATGCGGCCGGTTGTGCAACACATGCGGCGCCGATGACCATACTCACCGCAGGCAGTGCAGTGGCCTTCAAAGCGTCGTGGCGTATTGCAGTCGCCGAGTGAGTGTCCATGCCTCCCGCACCTCACGCACTGATGAACGGCACCCATCGGAGCGCCTGGTGGCGGAGCTGACTCCTCTTGCGGGTACACGGCGTTGCGCCCACAGTCATAGAGCCCCCCAGATCCCCACGTCGGGAAATTAGGAGGTGGGTGGTGTACAGGTGGTGGTTGTGGATGAACCCACTGTTGTTGCTGCTGCTGCTGCTGCCGCCGCCGTTGTTTCCCCTTCTGACCGCCGCCGCCATGACCGCACCCCAAACCACCGATCGCCTGCGATTTGCCCAATTCCTTGATCTCGACGTTGTTAAGCGTATGCCGTGCGAACAACTTTTTCCACTTTTGCTCGGGGAATGGTGAGGTCGGCCAGGATAGACTTGCGTTCGACATCGTACTCGGGCGAAAGCTGGCGAACAATGATGTGGACGATTTCCCGCTCGGATTTTTCAATGCCGACAGCTCGCATGATGTTGACGATGCCATCGACTCTGGCAAAGAAAAGCTTCGGGTTCTCGCCAGGGGACATCTCAACTGCCTCCAACCGTCGCACAAGCAATGTCTTCTCGGCGTCAAAAGTAGGCAAAACCCATTCACGGATCACCCTCCACGCCTCAGGGACGCAGTCGCAAGCAGCCAACCGTTCTTCAATGTCCGTGCCGCAGGTTGCTTCCAACAAATATCCCCATGGCCGCTTGTGTGCGGTAACGAGCGCCGCACCATGAACCCGGTTCAGATATATGCAATCCAAACAGCTGATGACAGGAACATAGCCAGTGGGATAGGTGTCTTCAAGCGTCTGCTCCAAACCCTCGCTAGCCAGGAAAATCCGCAATCTCCGCAGCCAGTTCACGGCCTTCGCCGAATCTGTCGGGATATTGGGCGGTATGCTGTAACCGCTCAACGCACAATTTCCGTCATTCATCATGCTCACCCGTTGTGTACCGAGACCAGCTCCACCAGCTGCCCAGGTAGACGTTCTCCCGGCAGCCATTACCCTTGCCGGTGCATCATTCTTCTCCGATAGATGCCCATATTCCCTCTCCGCCATGTCCTTCTCGCTCGTCATCTCTTCTCTTCCTACGCCAAATTACGCCGCCAAAAAAAAAAAAAAAAACAATGTGTCTCCTACGCCTACAACTGTTGTATTGTTTTGTAGCTGGATCTCCTTGACGCGCGCTGGCAATAACCGCCCGGCTGCTGCTGTCCTTGTGTTCCAAATGCTTTCCCTGGATCTCCTTGGCACGCGCAGGCAAAAACCGCCCTGCTGCTGCTGCCCTTGTATTCCAAACCCTGTTCCCTGGATCTCCTTGACGAGCGCGAGCGAAAACCGCCCTGCTGCTGTCCTTGTATTCCGGTGCCTACCTCCCGAACCTTTCCCTACCGACGTCAGCTGACTCCACGATATCATGTTTGGGGTGTCGGCGCGTGTACTATGTTATCACGCTCGCGGACTCTTGTCGAGGGCGTGTTGCACAAAGGAGTGACTCAAGTTCCTTGATTATTAGAGAGAGAGTTTAACGAGTGACAGACGTGAGCAAGAAGAGGCAAAGCCTGCTGCACCAAGTCTGTCTATCATACCCATATCTATCTCATCTGCGTAACCCCCTCGGAGATCTCGGAGAATTGTATCCTGCCGAGTACACACAAACAGCCCGTTGTTACGCTGCTTGCTGGTTGTTCGTACGACATGATAGTACGGGCACGACGGCCTTCGACGTGACGGGAGGTGATCGATCAAACCGTGCGATGCCGACCCTGCCACATTGCACTTTGTTGAGCCCACCTGATGGCGCTGATGCACTTGCTGTGGTGTCAGCGGCGGGGCAGGAAAAGTAGCCACGCCCTGCGTCCTGCACTCTTTGGGACCCAACGTTGAGCTCGATCGTGTCCATGTCCCATTGCATGAGATGCGCCTGAGGGCAGAGCGGCGATCCGCGGTTGTGTTTCGAAACGAGAGGAGGAAAAAAATTCAGGTAGACCACCCGCTACGATGCAACATGGCCACTACTACTGTCTACTAATAACAACAACAACAACAACAACAACAACAAGCTCTATGGAAACACCCACCAAGATGTCGACGGATTCTGACATCCTTTCCGTGATGAGCACCACCACGCCGCGTCTCTCAGCCTCCTCCATGACCTCGCTGGCCACCCTGTCAAGAACGCCGTTTCCCACATTTCCCGAGACGTAAAAGACCCATCGATACGTTCAATACCATGGTCAAAATGGAGCTTCGTGATACACAAGGCGAGCGCGATTACCTCCAGACCGCGTCGCTACTGTTAAGAACTTGGAAAATTATGAACTCTAGGTCCATGTTTGGTGTGATGCAATATGATTTGTTTTACACACACGCGTGCTGAGTGACCATCAACAGCCAGCTTGCAGAATAGCAAACCCTTCAACGTAAGGTTGCTCGGAGCCCTTGATGGGAGCGATGCGTCAAGAACTCAGGTCGCACTCGCCGATTATTATGTCGACTGGGCTCACCAGCGGTGAATATTGTGGGACAGAAAACCGCGCTGAGCACCATCCTGTATTCTGTCGAACTTTCTGGTAGGCAGCAATCCAAAAAGCTGAACCCAGATTTTGGCCACCCGGAAAAGTGACAAATCCAGCTGTATTAGGAGCCGGAATTTTGCCGATTCTGCATCTTGATGATTTTTGGGTCAAGAATCCGGTTGTATAAGAAACAGCCTAATATGTCGTTTCTTCGCTTTACTATACCTACTTTGATGGTGAAGCGGAGTGTGAGCCATTGGTGGCGCTCAAGTTGGTTCAACTAAATGCGCGCTTGTCCGTCGCCGCCGTTGTAGCAGTGTGCATCGTTGTTGTTAGACAAGCTGTTCATACATTGAGCGCTGAATATGCCAGGGAGTCACAATGAAAAATGTCGTGGCAAATACAAAAGGTTGGTGATGAATCTTGGAGAGGTTCTTGTATGCCTCTGAACTAGCGGCCCCACCTGTTGTTACTAGCAATCGAATCCTGTCGTGGTGGTGTTAGGAAAGGTGTATGCAGAGAGTGGGGCTTGAGGTTCGGGCCCGCCTGTTTGGTATGCATGCGGGTCTCACTATCCTAGAAAACACAAACATACGTTGCTCTGCTTCCACCTACGTTGGGCGGCCATTTCACATTGCCGTCCTTCCGTTTCTTCACGTGCTTTGTAGCTTCCATCAACCACACTTGCTCCAGCCACACGTGTTCTCCGCCTTGGAATTACAGAATATTCTTTATATTCTTCCTGTCATGACCCCACGGTTCCGGTAGAGTACAAGGCACCCATTCTTCCGTTTCCCAATAACTGTCAGTTTCTCCGTTCGACAACAAAGCTACTACTCTTCGTTATGGAAGCACACAGGAATGTGATTATTACCGATTGTCGTACCGTAGGGTGGTCAGAATCTACCCCAGTGGCAGCAACATATGGTAAACGAGAGGAAAAACACATTGACAAGCCCCCGGCCTTTGTGCAAGGTAAAACAAACGGTCGGTTTGCATATTACGCCACTGTTCTAGACGAATCCGCACGATGGGAGACGAAACCCAGTATATTGTGCTCCTTTCCTCACGCCGCCGGCGCGTCCTCCTGCTCCGCTATGTCGAATCACTTTGTGGCAGGCACCGGAAGCATCCATCAAGTTCAGAAGCGCCCACATCGCTTCTGACGCCGACAGTTCCGGCGAAGGATTGTTCTGAGAACGACCGTAGTGCGTGCCTGGCCCCAGGAATTGAACGTTCGGCGTCAGTATGCAAGTGTAAAGGTCTTCGTATTGGTACAATGAAAGTGAGACGATATCGAGCAGACTTGGTTCAAAAGCTGGGTAAGCAATTTATTGGAGAACGCCTGCGGGCAAGATTGATTTTCGACGAACAGCTTGAATGGAGACGGGTGTTACCACAACTTGCTCGGAACAGACAACCATTTTCTTCCTCCTTCTCCTCCTCCCCTGTCTATGCTCTGTGGTGATCGCATATGGCAGAAACGTGTGCTCGCCCGCCCGGGGTAGTCCGTTACATTGCCTATCGAGGAGTTGGACCGCACGCAGTTCAGATTTCTTGCTCTTTTGACTGGAAGTGCCGGAGTACGTCCTCACCCTGTTCGACGTTGATATAATTCTCGTGATCGGTGTCATCAGCTTCCCCGAAAGCGGTGGCGCTTGCTGTCTCGTGGCCACCAAACGCTCCGACATACCCACCACCACTAGTGTGGTGTGCTGAAGAAGAGGAATCTCGCCTAACCCCTCGTGCTAGGGAGGTGGCTTCGGATCGCCATTGCTTCGTGTCACATGCTGCCGCCGTATGAGAGTACCTTAGGGCGAACCTGCACAAACAACAGCGGTTCAGACGGCGAGAGAGAATTGAAATTGTATTAAGAGAGAGAGAGAGAGAGCAGTGATTCCTCGACGACGCGGTGCACAGCGAAGACGGACGGAAATTCCTGGAGCTGTAGTTGTTGTTGGCCTCGTTGTTGTGGTAGTTGTTGTTGATTTTGGAACCACCGCGTTTGCCGTCGTCGTTGGTATTTGGCAGGCTACGAACGAATCCAAATATGACGTTAGAGTCGCGCCGGCGGCTCTGGTTTAGATTTTTCTGTGCTATGTCGGCCTTCTTGCTCGAGATTACACTGTTTGATCAAACCCAGACTTCCTCCGGAGTCTTATCCTTCCAACAGCTACAAAAATCCGTCAAAAGTCTCACCGGCCTAGGAAATCGAGGAACCCAGGAAACGAAAGGATCTTCAATTGCAACGGTGAATTTCCCCTCCTATCTTCTTTCTCCGCCATTGGTATCTTGTCTGACGCCGTTCCCGGTTCCTTCACCGCGCAGTAATGGTGGTCATTGCGCTGGCGGGAATAGGAGACATCCCACAAGTCTAACAGCTGTTGCGCGCTCGCCAGCTGTTGGGTCCATTCAGAGGTGTTATGTAGCAAAACCAGTTTCGTCAGCGACATTTTCACCGTAGTGGATGGTTCGATGACCGGGTAAGGTATGAAAAACGTCTGAGGATGGATATACAGGAGATGCACACATGCAGCGGGTGGGGATGGAAATCACGGGGCAATGACAACGGTTTTTCCAAGAGCGGTATTTAGGCCAGGTCCGTCCTACGCTGCCAGGGGTTTGCACAACTATGAAGTCCAACTATTACGACCGTGCTCCATGCTTCTGAAGCACAAGAATCTCGAACACCAAAGGCAAACGAGAAAATCATTGATGAACACTACCGTGCGAGCCGTTTATTCGTCCGAGTTTGGATTCAATCCGTTGAGCAAGCAAGAACACGTGTTCAACTACATGGTGTTCTTCTCGTAGGCTTCGTGATTCGCGGCCAGCCGTGACCTACGTAGGTTTGAGCAACAACTGCAGCCTCAGCTGGCAGGCATGCAGGCATGCAGGCAAGGCGCCGATGCTCCCACCCACCACCGTCGTGAGCCCGAATTCTCTCGCGAACGCCGTTCCTCCTTCGAAACGTAGACCGAGCGCAGTCCTTCGTGGTACTATGTCCGACCCGCTTCTCCCCCCGTCGCCGCCGCCTCGCCCTACACCGCCGAGATCACTTCCACCCTCGGCTCTTCCGGGGACGGCAGAATCATTGTCGCCGCGGGGAAGGATTGGTGACAGTGCGTACCTACGGCAGTAGTGCGCGAAGATCTCGTGGAGGATCTGACGAGAGGAGTTGGACCCACGGGGTGCCGAAGTGACGGAGGGCAGAGGTTGGGAAGCGCTCTTTCACGCGGCGTGTGACAATAAGAGTGGCACCCACGAACGCGTGAGCGAGTGAGTTTTGCGTCTTAACTGTCCACCCCCCGGCATGATGGGGAGAAAAGATGCATTCATAAAAATATTCAGGTTTCCTGCAACTTGGAAGCAACTTGGAGGTGTAATTCAACAGCATAGCCTCGTCAAAGCGTTCTTGACAGTGTAGCACTGTCGCAGAAGAAGCAACTATTCTGAAGCGCCCTAGAACGAACTACTTCGTTCATGATCTCTGTGTCTCCGCACTTCCTACCTGTTCGTTGACGTCCAAGATATACTGGAGAGAAGGATCTAGCAGAGCGAAAGTCTCTCTCGCATGGCAATCTCTGGCGAGTAACTCTTTCGTAGCCAGCTCCTGCGGAATACGCGCATCCGGAAATCACCACACAGGTTTACCGAGGAATCCGTTGCGTCAGGAATACAACGGCGATGAGAGTAGATGCACCACATCATGTCGCTGATGAAAACAACATATTTCCAACAGCCAGTGTCAAGCACTGACACAGCACGCACCACCGCTGACCCATTAGCGCATGCGCTGTGTGATTTATTCCAGTCGAAAGCTACCCGCGATCATGTGCGTAAGGGTGTTGGTCTAAGCGAGTGGGAGATATTCTCAAAGTCGTGGTATCAACAAACATTCCAGGTAGCCACGGGCGGGGACAAAAAAGAACAATATGTCTGCCCCAAAATTATTGTTCAACCTCGCACCTTTGCCAGTTGAACAACACCGGCCATCGCGAACCTCTGCGCCATTGTCACCGTTCGTTGTCGGATTGCGTTTCCACCACCAACCACACTGCCGATATCACCCTCCCCACCCTCACCGATACCCCCGTAACCGACGATATTCTTTTCGCTATCATCTTCCCTGCCACCACCGCCACAACCAAAGCAGGGTTCTCCGGAACCTACTGTCAACACCTCGAGAACGCCTTCGAGGGCGGTTTCAAACTGGCTGAAGTTCAGCCCTTCTGGTGGGAGGCATCGAGTTTTTCGCCGACTTCGACCTGATTCACTCGCCCGCTGTTCTTCGAAAGGGCGTATTCGTTTGATGTGGTTGGTTCGTTGAAGGTGGCGTAGAGCGGGAGAAGCTTTGGCGTCACCGGTACTTCGTAGATCTTCTCCGTTGGTGGCCTTTCTCTGGCCGTCACGGGGAGACTTCGCTCTGCGGTGGCCACAATACTGTGCTGTGCTGTCCCGCTCTTGGTTGTTGCAGGTAGCAGTGTGGTGGTGAGCTCCTGAACCCATGCTGCCGTAGCTTCTCATAGTACGAGTGAAAATACGAGCCGCCTCGGAAGGATCGAGTCGCTTGGGACGACACAACGGCGTGCGGGTGAAGCCACGGGAGGGCATGATCGGCGATCTTCATTTTTCTGCCGCACAACCTAGTTCAACACTGACCAGCAACGGATCTCTGACGGGATATGATGTCATCCCTCTGTAGACGTAAGGCGCTCTCTGTGCGACCCGTACCCTGTACAGGAGGCGACGCACTATGCAACTGGCGGATCATTCAGCGAGCTCCAAGTACCCGTTACCTTTGTCGTTCATTGACGGGCTGCTAAGGAAAAGAGTGCGGTCTCTGCTCTACGAGCCCTTCATACTTGAAGTGTGTCTGTCGCCGTTACCATGAGTGAAACCACGGGAGGAGGAACAAGACCAATCCGTCAAATCAACGAATACCAAGACAACAACTCACACACAAAATATCTGCTGGAACCTCCGCCACACCCTTCTCGGCTTTCTGCTGCGCGCGTCCTCGTTCTCTCCGCGCCCGTCTTCCTCCTTCACAACTTCCCTCGCTCACACGGCCCCCTCCGCCCTGGTGACGGCCACGCCCGGGACTCTCGCCTCCCCTCCGGTTGGCTCGGCCTCCTCCAACCATTCCGACGCCGCCACCAGCCGGCAAAATCAACCCGGCGCTTCGGCAAACCCCCAAGAATGCCGTGAGACTCATTCTTCTCTCGGTAACTCCGTCGCACCCTACCGGGGGGTCGATCGAGGAGGCTGATGGCTCTCGGGGGCTTCCGCGAACGTCGGAAAAAGTTTTCGCTGTCGCCGTTTCCCTCGAGACTGAACCCGCCGTGACGGGTTTCGACCACCGCTGGAGGCTGGTCGGAGACGAGAGAGAACAGTCCGAAAAATGTCGAAACAGGGCCCTGTCGGGTTGCCGAGGGTGGAGGAGCGGGCAGGGGTTGGCCACGGTCATGCTAAGTGAGGAGCCGGAGGTGTGTATCAGGGCCCAGAAAACGCTGTGAAATCATGCGGTGCTGATGACATCAACCTGTTCTACCAAACACGCGAAAGCAATTATCAAGGACAGGGACTATATCGCAAGGAGTGTTGGTGGCGTAGACATCTCCGTGTGTGTATTCAAAATCGAAATCGAATGGCCTTTCTTTTTCTCTGGAACGCCTGGCACACCTATTAGGTAGCGAGGGATGTATGTGAACCCTCGCGAGTGGAAAACGCATCCTGACGACACCTGCCCCCATTGACCCAAACACGTTCATCATCGACCCCAACAGGTAAAAATTCTCACCACAGCAAGCTGGAACCCCACCCGGAATCCGCGTCGCACAGCCGCGCCCCCCCCGTCCCCTCTTCATTCTCGTAGACCCCTCTTGCGCGAGCATGAGCTAGCCTCGCCTTACCCCCTAGCAGCTCGAATGCGTGCCGGGTGTGCCGAGTAAGGAAATTCTCGAGGATCGCGTCGTCCTTGTTGCGGATGCTCTCCCACACGTCGCCCGCCCGCGCATCCGCCGCCGCCGCCTGTCTGCGCCCTCGAGATCCGCTACCTTTGATGCCGGCGCTCTTTGTCGTTGCCGAAGGCGACGGAGATGGCGCGTGGAACGTGAGACGGTCATCACCGCTGCCCCCACGAAACGCATGTTCAGAAAAATCTCGCTCGGAGCGGTGAATGGTCCCTCCCCCTCTTCCCAGCTGGCCGGCGGCAGAGAACGAGGCGCGTTGCTCGGCGTTCGCCGCGCCAGTGCCACCGTGCTCGCCAGGACCATTAACGCTGGGGCTGTTGTTGGGGTCGCCGTCGTTTCCGGTGCCTGCTCCGCCGGCTCGAGTTTTGGCGGGGGTCCTAGAGGCCGCTGCGTGCTTGATGTGTGCGGTGGAAGCGGCGGCGACGGTGGGTGTTGGAGGCCCGTCACAAGCTGCTGCAGCATCCTTGATGGCGTGGATCTCGACGAGGCGCTCTTCCACGCACTTATTTCTCTCCGCTCGTAGTCGGCTTAACCTGTTGGGGGTTACGTTGTATTGTTGATATTTCTCAATACTATGTGCCATAGTATGAAACCTGTTCCGGGTAGTTTGGCTGCGGCCACGGAAGGCGGCCGCGTTAGCTGGGTCAGTACGGGCAGAGATCGGGACGAATAGAACGATCTCACTTCCATGGAAGCCGACCACTTCCATGGAAGCTACTCGTTTTGCACTTCCATGGAAGCGCAAAATGACACTTCCTGGAAGCGATATTCACTTCCTCCATGGAACTAAACATATGAAATGTGGACGTGCCACTTCCGTGGAAGTCAGCTTCCACGGAAGTCCCACGGAAATCTCATGGAAGTGGAAAAGCTTCCATGGAAGTCGAACCTTAGGCTTCGATGGAAGCTATTCATAAGGTTAAGGGTAGCTTTCATGGAAGTACTCAGCCTCGGGTTAGCTTCCATGGAAGTCCCCTTCGGGGCTAGGGCCAGGGCTAGGGTGTTAGGGTTAGGGTAGGGAAGCTGGAATGGCCACATGCCTAGACCCTTCCGTGGACGTTACTTTGGGTTAGGGTTAAGGTTGAAGTTAGGGTTAGGAAGCTGGAATGACCACGTGTTCAGACGCTTCCTCCGTGGAAGTTGCTTTCATGGAAGTTTCGGTGCTTCTACGGAAGTCGGTTTCGACCTCTGTCATCCACTTCATTGGAAGTTGCTTTCATGGTATTTTTCGTGCTTCCATGGAGATAGCAGAGATTTTATCGAGCGACGAGCTTCCATGGAAGTACAACTTCCATGCAAGCTCGTCGCGCTTTCGTGGAAGTCCCAATTGCGACTTCTATGGAAGCAACGAGCGGTTGATATCGAGTGCTTCCATGGAAGTTGATACACTTCCATGGAAGCGGATTAGCTTCCGTGGAATTTGTTTACGGCTTCCATGGAAGCCTTATGGAAGCTCGAGCGCGAAACAGACGAACAGAGTCCAAGGAAGTCAACGAAGCCATAAAACTTCGAAGGAAGCCATCTAACTTCCATGGAAGTGACAGTGACTTCCATCGAAGGGGAGACCACTTCCATTGAACCACTTCCATGAAGGTCAACTTCGACTTCCCTGGAAGCTTATTCCATTTGTCAAATATGATGCGTGTGAGCGTGCCGGAGGGCATGATATACCACAAGACGTGGAGTCCTCCTGTAGTTCGCCGATAGTGTGACAAATGACTTGTACTGCAGCTGGGTCCACCCCCTCTGATCCATGTCGGACTTGCGAGTTTGAATCATGGAACAGCCCTCGCGAACTCTCGGATGTATCGTAAGACTCTCTGGTACTCCGTTTTATCAGTTTATCTCGGCAAACCCACTCACCGGGCGATGTCCGTTTTCAGCGCAGTCGCGGCACGATCTACGCCTTCCTTGTCCAGCGCATCTGACAGTCGTTGGCGAGGGGTTTAGGATGGGATACAGGCCTTCAGGGGGATTCGTATTGCTCCAGAAGCGTTACCAAGGTGCTAACACGTTTGAGCATTTCTACCCAGCCGGCTGACGTTGTCGCCACGCCCTCTAACAGCAAGCGTGAAACTGGCGACAGAACAACTGGCGATGCTTGACAAAATTCGATGGGAAACCAGCTAATGAAAACAGCAGGCGATCAGTTAGTGTAGCTTCGCTCTTTAGGTGAGTCCGACTTGCGAGGAGCACAGGCGCTGTTGAGAAAATTCATGCTCGAGAAACCTAGCGCATCACCGCGGTTATGAGAGCGTTCTCAGGATACCATTGTTGTCAAATCAATTTGCCATCGTCGCTGTTCACAGAATTCCCCCTGTGTCCTCCAGGGTCCCACGATGGCAGGAGAAACAAACGTCGGGAAGAACATTAGCAACACGCTACCGCGTTTCAAAGTTTTGCCATGCGGGGTTGGAAAATGACTCCGTGTGTGCCTCCGTGATTCTCTCAGCTCCGAGACTCTTGCCACCCTTCCGCAGATGCCTCACCTGGAGTGGTGGCGTTGCTAACGCTTTGGCCGGTCATTCCTTGATGGTCGGCCGCGTCGCTGTCGTTCAAGTCTCTCTCTAGGGCGTCGATTGAAACCGCCACCAGTCCCTCGTAGGCCGTCGCCGTCAGCGAAGCGACTTCTTCTCGAAGACCTTCCAGAAGTGCTATGGCCTGCCGAGCGGGGGAGAGGACCGGAAATATTCACTAGGTTTCCCACCCAGATGAGTCTCGTTTAAGACCCAGTACAGGAGTAGGCGTAGGACCTGTGAAGACGACTGTGTGGACTGCGAGCAGGACTTGAAGAATAAGTGATCCGTCAGCACGTGCAAGCTGACATCGCCACTGCGGAGAAACTCCGACCTTCTCAAAGGGCACCGAGAGAGCAGAACATACACCCAGCGAAGCGAGCAACTGTGCACTCCTTCCATGACCGAGCGACTTCATTTTACCTGCTTGTGTTCGCGTCCCTGCTTCTCCTCCATGTCCTGCTGCAGTTTCAGCTTCGACGCCTGCAACCTCCATCTCCACAGCGCGAGCGCCAGGACCCGCGTCCGGCGGACACGGCAGAGCACGCGATGAGCCAGCCTGCCTGCCACCGCCTTTGCGTGCTCTGTTTCTAGCCGGCGCTGTTTTTCCTCTTCGGCATTCTTCTCCTCCCGCTTGCGGGTTAGCCGTTGCTGTCGCTCTGTTACCTCTCTTGCGAAGTTGCCCTTTTTCCAAAATGCGACATCACTCTCACCGGTAACACTGTTTAGACATGCACAACCTAGAGATATTTTTGCTAGTCCCGCTACGATGCCGTCCCCGGTAGTTGTTGTGACGACGGCGTGTTGGATGAAGCGGCGCAAGCTCCCGTCAGAGGCACTCCTCCGAATAGCAGATGGAGCTCCACTCGGGCAGACGTTTTTCTTCGGGAGGGACAGCTGAGGTCGTAAACCCTGACCGTCATCGTGCCCAAATCCAGTAGCTTTGTCGTGTCGACGTAGGCGGCAGCGGCAGCGGTGGCAGAATCGTTCTTCATCTCGCCCTCTTGTGTGCGTGAATGCGTTCTTCGAGGTTGATAAGCCTGCGGCGTTCTCCTCACCTCCGACTCGCCGGCTGGACCGCGAAGAGCGGACGTGCTGCGGCGAAGAAGATGAACCGCCTTCAGAAACGGCCAATAGCGTGCGTCCGGAAGCGTTGCAGGGATCGAGACGCACGTGCTCACCGTTGTCCACGTCGTACAATGCTGGGGACGCGATGGACGTGTCGTTGATGCCTGAAACCAACGAGCCAGCGACATCGAGCCAGGGCGGAATGAGGCGTGTTTTTAGGGGGGGGAGACAAGCAGCGAATAATGGAAGTGAGCGAGTGAGGACTTGGTTGGTCGTTCGTAACGGTGGAGATGCACTCGTGAGGAGCAGGAATAGCAAGTCGAAAGGCCGGAGAAAGGAAGATGGAAGCGGCCTGAGGAAGGGGGGGCGTAGAGTGAATGGCCGCTGTTGAGACCTAAATAGACTTCTGGAACACAATTGCTCCAGAAAGAGAACGCTCTTTAACGTTTTACCGTTGAAAAAGCGTTGCGCCTTCCAAAACGTACCACCAGCCTTTCCGAGGATAGCAGCTTGGCGTCAAGGACAGGCAATGCGAGAAGTTCGAGTTTCCCTGCGCACATTGTTGGGATCATAACTGTGAGGGATGGTGTCCGAAAGACGACCGTTTCAGTACCAATACACTTGTCCCGATCGGAACGCGTTTGGTTGTAGGCCAAAACATTATCAAAACAACAAGGGCAGGTCACAAGGGTGGTGGTGTCAATCTAACATGAGTAGAGATTATTCCCTTGAGCATTTCTGAGGTAATCGTGATCAGCCCGGCCCCGTTCCATCTACCGAACAACCCCCCTTCCAGCACATAATGCGTCACTCACCAAGCATTTGTCGGAGGGATTTATCCATCAACCTTGCTGTGCCGCTCCTGAGCCATCGGAAGGGGAGCTTCATCCCGCGGTAGAGTATCACCGCTTTGGGCACCATCTCGACCGCTCCTACCCTCGAACAGCACCCCACCTTTGCTGCTGCTGGTGCCCCCCCCAGCAAGTCGCCTTGCTCAGCAGGAATCCCCGCTGGATCTTCGCTGCGCGAGAAAGGAGGCAGCCCGCCCCTGCTGCCGCTTCCTCCGCTTCCTCTTCTTCCATGCTGGCGACAGCAACAGGGCGATGTAGGTGAAAACTCCGATTTCCGCCGGCAGCCGCACGGCCCGCCTCGCTCTGCCTCTGCTACTTCTGCCGCCGGGAGTCTCGTTGGCGTGCAGTCATCATCTTCAAGCGCTGATGGAGGTTCACTTCTCTTTGCGTCTCCGCGGCTTCGACGCCTTTCGCCCTCGAGAGGTCCTCCAGGCCCTGGGTTCGGTCGCCCGACAATTATGGCGGCCATCCTGATCCTGCCGGCAACGCCGCCCGCTATGTCGAACAGCGGCGACTCCATCGTGCGCCACGCCCCTACGACCTCCGACAGCAGGAGCGCCACGGCGCCAATGAGAGCGTAGGGTTGGGACTCTCGATTCGGATCAGCTGGGGCTCCCCCGCTCCGGGGTGTTTTGCAACCCCCTTCGGTCGACCCTGAACCTTGTTGTGGTTCGTGGTGGTGGTCCGCAGGGTTGGCGGGTCCTAGTCTATCGCGGCGCGTGGGCACGCTGCCGCCGCTGCCGATGGTATCCGTCGTCTCGGGATTGCCGCATCCGTGGTTGGTGTAGGCGGGCTTGGCTACGAGAAAAATCTCGAAGAGAATCGCGTCCACACCGGGAAGAATGGGCATCTGGAGGGTGGAGAAAACGACACGAATACGATGGGCCCCATCTCGTTGGTGTACAGGGAAATAACAGCCGAGGGACAACAGACGCTTTCTTGTCGACATCGACTGGGAAGGTGTTTCGAATGACACATCGCAGCGCTTTTTTTTTGTCCAAGAACAGGGATGCAAAGTGATGTTCTTCGTCGTACAATGTGTTTCGGCTCCGAGCTCGGTGCTCGATACAACGGTGGGCGGGACGAGGTGCACCTGTTATCGTGACCAAGTACATCATACCCGATCCAAAGGGTGGGACAGTGTCCCATACGCGATGCGTGCAATCTGCCACAACCTTACAGGCACTCGCCTGAAGCTCTTCGCACCACGCTGTGGCTCTGCCATCGCTCGGCGCCAATGGGTTGACGTTGGAACAGGTCCGCGGGGTTGTTTCTCGGTGGTTCCCATGCTGGTCGCTCAAGCGAATGACGATTGGTCTTTCTGCCCCATCGAGGTCCTGAGACGCGCAATATTGGCGTCACGGATGGAGAATCACAACTCCAGTCTCCGTTCGACTTTTAAAATATAAAGTGCTGCTAAGGACATAGACTAATTTGAAAGTCGGAGTATATGATTGATTGGCGTCGTTCGGGAAAATTCGCTACTTGCTCCTTGAAGCACGCTTCGCGCCACCATCGTGTACCAATATGAAAAGTAGTGAAAACTGGTGGAAAAACTGCACCAGACCTCTGAAAAAATGTGACATGAATCCTTTTGCATGCTTCCTCATGGGCGAGGCTGGGTGACAGCGGTTGCACGGAGCCAAGTACAGAAAGGTTGCTGCGTCAAACTTCCTATAGTCTCACCTCTGCCACTCCAAGCTTGAGGGAAGACACAGAAATGGCCCCAAAAGATGCAACAGCATGAACTTCATCGACTTTCTCCGCCGTCGACCCTGCCGTATTTTCTGTTCGGCTGTTTTCCACCATAAATTCGCCATTGGCCTCAGAACCCGTTTCGATAAAACCTCGACCAACTTCCGGAAAGCCTTCTGACTCTGCGTTGGTGACTGCTTCTTGACGCTCGATAGTGGCCTCTTTCAAACCACCTGGTTCGGCGGCGTTGCCAAAGTTGGAGCTACTGGAATTGCCCGCAGCAGGCGGCCAAGTCTCCCCGGTTGGATGTGCTGCTGCAACTAGCTCATCTTGTCCAGGTTGGAATCCTGCTACATGTGCCGCCTCATCATCTGGATGGCGTGTCGCATTCACAAACGGTGGCAAGTGGTGCCCTGCTTCTGTTTTCACGCACTCGTTGCTGTGGTTGGCAACAACCGCATCGGTGCAAACAGCACCACACGTTTGTTGACCTTGATAGTTTCCATCCTGTGCCATTGGCATTTCATCACTTGATTGTGAGGGCAAGATATCTTGCCTATCACCATCGCTGGCTGAGAAGTATTCTTCGTCTTCATCTCGCGAGTTCAGATATCTCTTGCTCATGGAGACCCAACCTTGTTGGCGCTGAAGGTGCGGTGTGGTCTAATGTAGGTCACATGCCAACCATTTTTACCGGCCGGCCGCAGTAGACGACGTGTCGACAACATTCTGCTTTACCACACTTTGAACTGCGCCGCTCATGTTCCCTCTCATGTTGCACCAAGCTTGTGTGCGCTGCAAATGATGGACTACGTGAGTACTTTCTACCAGTCCCAAATGGCGTATGCTGCAAATATAGACTATAGGTATTCAGTGGGGATAGTATGGGCAAGTAATCAAGCTCTACAAGTAATGCTACGTGTTCAACCTGCTGTTTCGTTCTCGTCGTCGTCGAAGCTGGTGGAATGTAGTCGAATGTAGTCGAAACGTGAAAGGCTTCGTGTACTGTTCGCGAGCCGTTTCGGACCGGTGGGGTTTTTAATCGCGGCCGTCTGGGGGGGGGGCACGCGAATAATATTTACCATTGCATACCTCTATTCTCCCGACAACAGCACCGCCTCTCACACATCACTGCCCTGGTCGCACCCTTGTCCTCTCTCTCTCTCTCTGCCTGCCAACACGGCTAAGCCCGATACCCTCACAGCTGGGTTGATTCGTGTTTGTGAACGTATTGGATGCTTGCGTGGGGTAAGACCGTTTGCGCGCGATGAACGAGGCAAGTCTCCTGCGGGCCCTGCGGCAGTACCGGAAGGTTCGAGGGCCGGACTTTCACCAGCCGGCCACGAGGAGTAACCAGGGCAAGATAGAGAACGGAAATGGCGGCGTAGAGAAGGTATGGATCATGCATGATTGCTGCTGTGGGCTGATAATGCCATACGATTGCAGTGTGGACTACTGCTGTTGGTGCCTGTCACATATTTAGTTGACGCTCGTGCGGCAAGGCTTCGCCGCCGAACCTGGCACCAGGGGCATGCTTCGGCCTGGGGGAGCACTACACTGCTGTCGGGGCTTGAGACTAAATACTGCTGTAGCATCATTGAGTACGCGCACTGCTAAGCATACGAAGAATGTTCATGCAACCTATTGTGTCAAATATTGCACGACGTGCGGGCCGCGCAAGAAAAGGCTCGATAGGTGCGGATGCGGTTGTTCTTGCATACTGCTGAAGATCAACTGCTGTTGGACCCAACCCGCAACACACTGCCGTTGAGACGGAAGAGGGCTGTCTGATTGTCCGATTCACTTGCATGTGTTCAGTGGGTGATTTCGCAATCTTCTTGACGTTTGGACGTGAGTACGAATCTTGACGCAGTCACAAGAAGTGGGAGTTTTTGTAGCCCTCGGGCTGGGAGCGTCAGCAATAGAGGGTGGGTGTCACGAGCCTACCTACTCTGCTGTGAGCCCTGCTCGGTATCCAGCAACCGTTGCCAGACTTCGTATCCAAGCGACAGCCGTGTGTCCTTGACGCACACAAGCAGGTCGGAGGCCTCTATTACAAGAGGAGCGCACACGCTCTTCTATCAATTCTGCACGAGCTCCTCTTTTTACTACCCCCCCCCCCCCCCCCCCGAACGGGGTTGGGTTTTCGTCGCTTGGCAACGACGTTGTAAAACAAGCCGCCCCCCCCGGTGTTTGCCATCGGGGTTTGGGTTTTCGTCGCTTGGCAACGACGTTGTAAAACAAGCCCCCCACTCCGTGTTTGCCATCGGGATTGGGTTTTCGTCGCTTGGCAACGACGTTGTAAAACAAGACAATTCACTTCGTGAACTCGGCAACCAGGTTACCGTTTTTTTTTACCTCGTTTTTTTTTTTGGCGGTAACCATAATGGTGGTCGAGTAGATCATGTTGTGCGGGGTCGAGAAACCTCACTCCGCGCAACGGGGGATGATCGCACCACGTTGTGTTAAAATGGTCAAGCTTCCTCGAGGCAGTTACACAGTGCTTACAACTGTCTCTGGAAGTGAAAGCACCAGAAAATAAATTAAGTCATACGTAGCTGTCATCCGTACGCAAGGAAGTAAGCACAAGATGCCGAACACCCTTAGCAGGATGCAGCTCACCCTTCATGCGACTCGCCAAATACCTCACGGCGCTTCGCGCTTGGTGATGTGAGAGCCTGGTCCGGTGAGAACCCGGCGTGCTCCGTCCCGGCTT